CCCACACACACCCACACACACACCCACACACACCCACACACACCCACACACACCCACACACACCCCACACACCCGCACACCCACACAATTGCACGCGCATTGGCACGCGCACAAACACGGACACAGACACAGACACAGACACAGACACAGACACAGACACAGACACAGACACAGACACACCCACCCATCCACCCACCTACCCACCCACCCACGCACAGACCCTAAACCCTAAACCCTAAACCCGCGCGCGCACGCGCGCACGCGCGCACGCACGCACGCGCGCGCACACGCACACGCGCACGCGCACGCGCACGCGCACGCGCACGCGCACCGTGCCCGCGCCCCCGCGCCCGCGCCCGCGCCCGCGCACCCGACGCCCGCGCCCCGCGCCCGCGCCCCCCAAGCCGCCCGCCGCCCGCGCCCGCGAACCCGCGCCCGCGCCCGCACGCACCCGCACCCGCACCCGCACACCCGCAGACCCGCACCCCCGCACCCGCACACCCGCACGCACACCCGCACACCCGCACACCCGCACACCCGCACACCCGCACCCGCACCCGCACCCGCACCCGCACCCGCACGCACGCGCGCACCCACACGCACCCACACGCACGCACCCACACCCACGCACCCAGACCCACACACCCACACCCACCCACCCACACGCATCCACACCCACCCACACCCACACACCCGCACACCCGCACACCCACCCACACCCACACCCACACCCACACCCACACCCACGCCCACGCCCACGCTCGCACCTACACCCACACCCACACGCACACGCACACGCACCCACACAGCCACACCTCCACACCCCCACACCCACACACCCACCCCCACACCCCCACACACACACTCCCACACCCCCACACCCCCACACCCCCACCCGCACCCACACACACACACCCACACCTACACCCACACCCACACGCACACGCACACGCACCCACACAGCCACACCTCCACACCCCCACACCCACACACCCACCCCCACACCCCCACACACACACTCCCACACCCCCACACCCCCACACCCCCACCCGCACCCACACACACACACCCACACCTGCACCCACACCCACACCCACGCCCACGCCCACACGCGCACGCTCACAACGTGCGCACGCGCGCGCAGCATTAGCCGCCCTCTCACTGCACTCGCTCGCGGCACCTGTGCACGGCACCCCCACGCCGCACCCGTGCACCATACCCGTGCACCACAACCGTGCACCGCACCGCAACACATGCACGCGCATGCTTACACACACACAACACACACATACACACCCACCCACCCACCCACGCAGGCAGGCAGGCACGCAGGCAGGCAGGCACGCACGCACGCACGCACGCACGCACCCCCACACACACACACACACTTGTGAAGCGCTTCCCGCAGGAAGTAGAGGTTGAATCTATGTCAAGCTGTCAAATGGTCAAACCTGCCGACGGGATGTCTTCAGTAGAAAACCTAACCCCGGGAAAAATGGAGCTACGCAGGTACACGGCCTGGCATCCCAGGCCGTTTCACAGCACATCTACCACCGTTGCAAAACTGATGAATGACTGCAGGTCTGAAAAGACCTAGTTTAACATTTAGACACCAGAAAGGCACGGGCTTGCAACCACGGCACGGGAAAAGGGGAAAAAACCACCAACGGCAAACACATGCTCCTGGCAGCCAATTTCTGAAGCCAAGTCCTCTCACGTGTCCGGGTGTTGGGACGTCTAGCTCTTGCCTCGCACTTGTCCTCGCCTCTTGAGGCGAGAGAAAACTTCAACAATAAATGGCCTCCTCGGCCGGTGTTTTTCTTCTTTTTCTCTTCGGTATCCGATCAGCTCGGCTTTGTCGCTTTTGACCAAAAAGGTCAAACTGCATGCTCTTCAGCAGCGCCAAATCTGGAAAAACAAAGCCCTGGTTTAACATTTGGCATCAGAAGGGGCACGGGTCCGCAACCACAAAAGAGGGAAGACCACCAACATTGTTTTGCAATCAGCTTGTCTCACACACACACACACACACACACACGCACACCGTCACCCACCCAAATATGACACACTCAGACACCCACACCACCACACCCACCCACCCACACACAGACAGGCACAGGCACAGGCACAGGCACAGGCACAGGCACAGGCACAGGCACAGGCACCCACACAGCCCCACACTCACATTCTCTTATTGGCGTGGTGCCAAATGGAGAGTGGAGGCCTCTGTGCGTTGCTTGGTGGGAAGCTTGGCGAAATCGATGTGCTTTCCAATGCTCGGATCCTATATTGTTTCTCGGTCTTTGCCCTGATTGCTGCACTGCTTACAAGTAGGATGCTGCATGGAGCTGCAGGCCCAGAGGCTCTTCAATCAACTCCCTGGGACAGGCGCGCAGGTCTTTTTTGCTCAAGTGCCAAGAGCATTTTGTCCAAGACAGCTTTTCCAGAACCAGGCAAAGGTTCTGCCCACGGAACAGGCCGCAGCTACCCCTTCGCAATATTTCACATCTGCAGTCATCAAGGAGCCCCAGCACAGCACCATGCCCCTCATCAACATTCTAATTTTCTGAGCAGTAGCTTCAGCGGATGCATGCCTGTACCATGGTCATTAGAGAGACGCTGCACTCTCATCAGTAACATTGCCGACCGTGCTTTGACAGTCAAGCAGCTCTGGGATCTGCGGATTTTTCTACAACGGTTATGCAAGACCCACTTACTACGAGCACGCTCTCGGACTGATTGTACTGAGACGTGCCGACTGGAGTGGCAAGAATTGAACCTTTACGATGTCACAGATCAGGTGATCAAGAAGTTGGTCCCGTTTCACGACAGGAAGTGGCTGGGTGACGCTGCAGATTCAGAGCAGCTGGCCAAGGGCTATTCTTGGGCTGAGCTTGTTGCCAGCCAACCGCAGCCACCAGATTTTATGGTGAGTCATTGGTGGGGTGGGCGTTTCAACGATTTCATGACCGCGGTGGACAAATTAGTCCGTGACAAGGCTTCGAGCATTTGCACAAGCCTTTGGGTTTGCACCTTTGCCAACAATCAATTTGGAGAAGATTTTGGATGCCGCATTTTAGAGACCCCATTTGTAAAGGCGGTGGAAAATGCGGAGGCCACGGTATTGATTGTGGACCGAGATGCAGGCTCTCTTGCAAGGAGCTGGTGTTGTTTAGAGCTTCACTGCACGATCCTGCGCGAGAAGGAGCTCTTGCTTTACACGTCCCAGGGCATGGTTGGCTCTGCTGATGTTTCCTCGGGCCCGGTTGTGGACGCAATATCCCAATGGGACGTGCGCAAAAGCCAAGCAGCCGAGCATGCCTATAAGCGGCAGATTCTAAACTTCATCGCCGAAGTGCCAGAAAAGAGCGGGCTCCTGACCACGGACGGCACCCTGCGCGGTGACTTGGTCTTGGTCGACGGCCGGCCTCAACTGGACCCTTCGCAGGCGGTGACTGAGCAGCAGCTTCTGGCAGAGCACGGTGAGGCAATGGAGGCCTTGAACATGGACGTCCGCGTCTCTGTGCTTCGGTCGATCGGGCCCTGCAAGAGGACAGCCGGGTGCCGGATCGCTACCGTCAAGCATCGAGGCATCACCTTGGGCCAGCTGCGCCGCTTTGCGTTCAAAGCCAAGCTGGCGATGGCCAAAGAACTGCCAGCAGTGGCATGGAAGGACGTGACAGTTAACCAGCTTTGTGAGAGTTATGTCAAGAAGCAGACCCAGAAGAGGCAATGCTCCTATGTCGAGCTTGTCGCAGACGGACCTCAAGTGCCACATTTCTGTGTTGACTTTAGCACCCTGATCCCTTTTCATGAGATCATGTTGTCAGTGGAGTGGCTTGCAGAAGCAATGAGTCTGAGAGACTCGGTGGTTCTGTGGTTCAAGCTGCTAGGTTACAACCAGCACTCTTGCTGGGATGACGCCGAGCAGAACACTCGCGACGGCAACCGCCTGGTGATAGATGCTGCGCAATCGGAGTGCCACAGCAGCTTGCTGGTCATTGGCACGCAGGGCACCAGAAACGAACCGGGGAAGCACGAAGAGTTCAACGTTTTCTCCAGGGCCTGGCGGCTGTACAACTTAGAGTGTTCTTCTCGCCTGGGGCAGGACGTATACATTGCCTGCAAGTCAGGCGTCATGGCATGCACCAAGCCGTTTGCCAATGGTCTCTCCAAGTTTGGAACCCTCGATCCAAACCTCACGCAGGCTTTGTTCAAAGTTGATTTGGAGATGCAGGACGTCCGGGACCTGGACAGGAGTGACATTCTTGGTTTCATTCAAGAATCCAATGGTGGAGATGGCCTTGACAGATTGAGGCGGCGGCTTCAGCGCTGGGCGGCCAATCACTTGGTGCTGTGCCCTTCTTCATGCGAGAAAGCCAAGCTGGAGGAGTTATGCGCTGTACCTGGCTTTAGCATCCACTCAGAGTTTGCCAGAGGCAACCTGGGGCAGTCCAGCTTGCATGAAGCAGTTGCTGCAAATTCGCTGCACGCCGCCAAAACTTTGCTGGCACACGGTTTTCCACCTGACGCCACTGATGCAATGCAAGAGACACCGCTGCACTATGCTGCGCTGACAGGCAATGCTGAACTGGCTAAGTGGTTATTGAATGCAAGAGCTGACCTACAGATGGAGTCCAGGTACGGCGAGACTGCCCTGGACGTTGCCAAGCAAAACATTGCCGCCTTTTTGGGGGCAGATTCTTTGTCTGTTGCGGCTTTGCTGGAGGACGCGGCTTCGCTGCCCAAATGCTAAAGCGAGAGCTTTGCCAATCGGCAAGTCTCAGCAAACTAAGCAGGAGGGCTCAGGCAGTCAAGTCGGAGAGTTCAGCTTTGTGCTGAGCTCTTGTTGTAAAGTACTTTTGATGCGGCTAGCGTCTCGGGAGATTTCTGGCAAGTTTGAGGAGGTTCGCACATGCGACAGCAGGGAAAATGGCTCGTGGCCTGACAGGGAAATGAGAAGCTTGTGCGACCAGAAATCGTTGCGTTCGCAGTCCAAGGCCTTCAGAGCTGCGAGGCGCAGCAGGTCAGCCGCTCGGGGCGAGACTGCGAGGCGACTGGAATGCGGTCAGCTCCAACCACTTCCTATGGTGGTTATGGAAGCAAGCATGCAGCATGCCCGAGTTTGACCGCTTCATGAGGAAATGGCACGCATTTGTTTTTTTCTCGCTCTGACATGCACAGCAAATCCAAGCTGCTTGCCGAATAGTGCCACAAACTATCGGGATGTCAGGAGCCAAGGCAAGGTACTTGGTCACCCAAACGCTTTTGTCAGATCCCCCAGCAACCCGCCATGTAGATTCCACCTTCCCCATTAGCAGTTATTTGAATCTTTTGTCTTCCAGCGGTCGTATAAGCCCTGGGGGGGGGGAGTGAATGGGACTTCACACCCATTCAAAGGACTCTCTGTGCGACGAGCCTGTGTTTTGCGTGGGCACAAAGTCTTCAGCATTAGGCACACTTGCTTACAGTCAGCATGCTTCTTCAGTTCGCCTGGTTGGCACGGGGTTCACTCGCCAGCAGGTGCTGCCAAGCGCAGCTTGTCGGAGGATAGCCTCAACAGCGGGGCCTCTCTTTCCCGTGGCCTGGCCATGCAAGAGTTGAGACTTGGTATCGCCGCGTGTGCTGGTAGGTGCCCATGGGCAGCTTGGCTGTGCCCGCAACTCTGTGTTTGGCACTGCATTTGGATTCGGAGGTTAGGCCTCCACTGAAGATGCCAAAGCAAACCCATCATAGTGATTGTGTTTTTTGTTACGAGCAGGCAGAGTTTACCATTAGAAAACGACTTGCTACAATCAAACATCAAAAACAACTAGCAGTCTGTCGAACGCCTGGCAGCTGGCAGGTAGCAGCTAGCCCCACATGCCATTCTGAGGTCAAAGCCGTGTGATTCCAGGAGAGGACATGCGTCGCTCAACTGCTAGCCAGCCTAAAGCGCACCGCTTGGCACAAACTTCAAGCTGGATGATTGAGCCAAGAAAAAACATTCCCGTGATATGCTACAAATTGCGCTCTCATTGCTTGCAAATTGCCAGGCACGCTTGCCAGTGGAGCCTTCCGTCGAGCTGCCAGTCATGGCCGACTCTTGGACGATCAATCAGCCCGCGAGGAGCTCACAAAAGCCCCTTACTGGCAGGGAGAATCTCCGGACATGTTTGCGCGACTGGCGCCCCACAGACTCGAGAATGGCAACCCGTTTTTGGCGGGATATACTTCACACATGAGATACACCGTTTTGGGCTGCCATCCTGGGACTGCAAATTGTCAGGTTCTTGACTTGACGCGGAACTGAAGCCGTTGTCAGCATGTGTGCGCTGTAGAGGCAGTGTCGCTAGCAGCCTGGGGGCAGTGATGCGCGCTGCGACGACAATCCAAAGTTTCTCGGCTTCTTGTCAGCTCGATTTTGTCAGCTTGGTTTGAGTGGAGTGGTGGCGGTCAGATGATGGGACACGGTTGACGTCACTTCGCCTGATTCTGCGACTGGTGATGGGCCCCCTGTTACATGTTCTGATCCATCTGCTTAAACATGGGCCTTGAGATGTGCGCGTTTCGCGTTCGGCCCTTTCCGTTTCGCGTTTTTTGGTGAGGGGTGAGTTGGCTGCCCCGTTGCGAGCAGGCGTGCCTGGCTCCAGCGACGAGCCCATGGAAAGCGCAGGCGCCGAGGCGGGCTGGCTCACTGGGAACTCTTCGACAAGTTGAAAAGCACGAAAGGGAACTCTTCGAAAGGGACGAAAGGCAGAAACATGCAGAAACAAATATGCGGCTGAGGCGACCGAACTTGTCCTGACTCGACTCGGTCTGAGCTTATTTTCCAGTGGGCAAAGTGTCCTGCGCTTCTGCAGCCGAGACTTTCGATCACTGAGTGCAACCTGTAACATCATGATTCTTTGGCAGGCCACGCCGTTGAAGGCACGGCCTCCGCCTGGCAGCGGTGGTGGCACAGGACGCTGGCGCGTCCGCGCCTACGAGGGGCCAGAGGACGGGGCTGAGGGGGGGGTGGCGCCTTCAAAAGTAGAGGGCCTGCAAGAAGGGAACGCGAAGTGTTCCCTGTTTCGCACAGGCCATCACCGCCGCTACATCAACTGACAATTTTCAACCCAACCAGCCTGCTGTTTGCCGCGTTGCTTTATCCATGCAATCCCTACTGCTGATCCTTGTTGGCAAGGGGGTCGTGTTGTTTGGGTGTGGCTTCCGCAGCTCTCAGCGCAAAGCACCCTGGCACGAAGACGTGGTGCACTTTGAACCATGGCGCCGCTGGCAGACAACATGGAGGACAGCGCCGCAAAGAGAGAGAGAGAGAGAGAGAGAGAAACAAAGAACATGCAAACAAGACATGTCGCGAGGGGTTGCCGAGTGCATGGGGCATGCGTCGGATGCACGCCGTTTGCCAGCGCCACCCGTTCCTTTTAGAATGTTGACGGCCATTCTTGTGGTGTCCTTGGGTCTACGGGTTCCAATGCTTGCGCAGAGCTGATCCGCAGGAATGGTTTGAGGCCGTGCCCGCATTGCTGTCCTCCGAGGGCTGGGTGCAGGCATTGGCCCGGCCCAACGCGAGCCTTCTGCACCGCAGCTGCCCTGGGGGTGGGCACCTTATCAAGTTTCATTTTCGAGGCTCCGGCATGACTGGCTCGGGGAAGAGTGGGAAGAGGGAGGTCGGTACCCCCCCGAACTTGGCAGGCTGCTTCATGTTTGCCTTGGAAGCTTGCAGGCATCACAGTCTCCGATGCCCCGGAGAGACCTGGCGATCTGATTGTCCGCCCAGAGGTGAGGTGGTTGCTCAATGAGAAGTTCCCCGTCAACGGGACCAGCATCAGGGCGGAGGACTGTTTGTAAAGGGTTGCCCTAACTCCTGTCAACATTGCACCCCCGCGTGTCCTTGTAAGTTTCCCTGCATTAAGCCGAGGCAGGGTACGCATTGCAGCGTCACTTCCCGCCGAGTTGCCTTTATATCCGTGCACTTCCCCCTTCACTACCTCGCTTTACTACCCCTTCAAATCCCATGTGTTTCCACCTGACTTTCCCTTCATTTCCCCTTCATTTCCGTTTCATATCCATCCTGGCATTCTTGACTGGATTGAGGGACAGCTCAGCAAATTTCTTGCTGATAGAGTTACGCTGCGACATGCTGCGGCTAACTGTAAACCTGCCAAAGGCTGCCAAGCAGCAAAGGCCTAGAAAGGCTGATTTTCTTACTCCGGCAGTGTTGAATGGCCACCGCGCGAAACCTTTTGGGAAGGGGATCCTCTGGGTTAGCTGCCAGCAAAGTTTGAAGCCCATTCATGCCATTGCAGCCATTGAGAGCGGTGTGAGTCTTTCTTGTACAGATTTGCAAGCCAGAGGTGACAGGGCAGAAGCAAGAGCACATTTTACACACACACTTTGACCTGCGTCAAACCGGGCAAGAAGGTGTGTTGTCACTTCAGTGGAGTGAAACTTGCCAGAGGCAAGGTCAGCCAGAGGTTGGCAAGGCGTTGTAGGTCTAGGAAGGTGTAGGAAGCTATGCCATGCTTTGTTGGAAAAAACACGTCCCGTCATTTCTATCGTTTCCTCCATGGCCCCTTCATGTTCTTTCCATTTCCCCTTCGTTTCCCTGTCCGTGTCTCTTATTTCGACTTCATTCTCGTTCATGTCCCATTCATTTCCAGTCAACTCCCTACACCTCCCTTCGTTTCCGTTCATCTCCCCTTCACTGCGTTTCATTTTCCTTCGTTCCCCCTTCATTCTCCTTTCAATTTCTTGTTCCTTTCCCCTTGATTTCCCTTTCAGCTCGCCTTCAGTTCCCTTGCATTTCCCCTTGATTTCCTGTAATTTCCGCTTCCTGTCCCCTGCGCTTCCTTGTGTCCCTTGCATTTCCACTTCGTTTCCCTTCGCTTCCACGCATTCTCCCCCCCCCCCCCCCCGAATTTCCCCGACACCCCCGACACCCCCGTCAGTCCCTTCATTTCCTTGTCATGCTCCTTGTCACTGCACTTACCCGCATTTCCGCACATGTCCCCTTCTTCATTGACCCTGCATTTCCGACCTACTTCGCTATATTTCCCTTTCGTTTCCTCTTCACTTACCACTTCCCCGTCATTTGCCGCGGTTTTGCCGCACGGATGCAAAAAAGCACTGTGTGTTTAGCCTGAAGGAGGCCAAGTTCCACGGTTGCACCGCAAAAGGAGGTAGAAGACCCGAGCCGGCAGAGAGCTGGCAGGGGGATTCGGCCGGACTCCTTTGCCGACTATGTTCGCGGAACGCATCAAATTGCCCGCGATAAATTCGCCCCCGCGGCCCGGGGGCCCTCCATCCTCCAACACATGTGATTCGCGACATTTTGTGAGCTGCGCACCAGGAGTTCATCGCCCCCGGCGAGGCCGTGGTGTCAGGCTCGAACTCTTGGAACTTCATGCGCCTTTGCACGGTGCTTTTCGGCACCATGGGTGGGGCATTCATGAGCTTTTTCTACCACGACGCCCACACCAAGGTGGCGTTGCAGCTCGTTTGATAGCATTTGATGGTGTGCTTGTACATATGCCCCATGCGTTTGAATTTTGAGAGTCGTTTCGAGTTGCCTGAGGCGCCAGAGGGTGCGCCGGAATTACCCGATGCAGGGCGACAGCATTTGCATCTTCTGGGAAGCGGAGGGGGGGCCTCAGGAGGGCTTCCTCATGACGCGGCCCGAGGGCGATCCAAAGGACTCCAAGTTCGAAGTTTTTGCGGTGATCCGGATGCGGGAGGACAGGTTCGCGCACTGGGCCACCTTCCAATTCAGGACGGGTGCAATGTTCAGGGTTCAGTGCGTGATTGGAACTTTGTTGGCTCGTTGCATGGCTATAGCTGGCTATTGCAATCGGAGTATGAACTCATGACTATGCGCCAGCATGCTCAGCCTGCTCGCATCAGGTGCACATTTGCCACGAAGTAGTCTGCCCCTCCAGCTCGTCCGTTCGCAGCCAAGGGCCGCCCTTTCTGAAACGCAAAATCCTGCCTTAGCCTTTCCGCGGTTGGCAAATTTGTAGGGTGACAAGAAGCATTGTCTTTCGCCGACATATTTTGTTGCCGCGGGTGAATGCTTGCAGGATCGTCCTGGAATCTGCGCGGAAGACAGCCCAGTGGTTCCTGAACCGCCCTGGCGTCAAGGAGCTCCGAGAAGCAGACCGGAAGTTCTACACAGCACTTGCCTCGGAAAGGGCCCAGCCCCAGTCATCCGCATGTAGCGCGCAACATAGGCCATGCAACATAAACGCATATAAACCCAACGACCCTGATGCCGGCAGCAGGTGCTGTCCATGCAGAGCTTCAAGCGCGGCATGCCCCTGGTGCCATCCAGGCGCCCGGCCACTGTGGAGATCGACGCCGGTGAGCGTGTGGGCTTTCGGCATTGGGCCCGCTTTGAGCCAGGCAGGGCATTTGAAAGTGGAGGCTCGAAGTGAACTCTTCACAGGCTGCAGAGGCGATTGCTTTTTGCGGAGGCTGTTAGAAGCCGCATGCCGCGGCAACATTGTGTCGAGATGTTTTGAGGCTTGGCCGGGCTAGCCATTTGCTCGTCCGGTCACAGGCGACTTTGGCAGCGACAACTTCCAGCTTGCGCAGTACGTCCAGCACTTCCTCGCCTCCGTCGGCGAGGAGCTTCGCACTTTCCACACCCTCGACGGCTGTGAGCTGGTGCCGTACCAGTGCGTGGTCGTCCGCCAGGCGAGCGTCACGCAGGCTTTCAGCATATGTTGCTATCGGTTCGTGCCTGAGTTGAATTCAGGCTGGCAGCAATTGTTTGCACATGCCCTGCCAGGAGTGGGAGAAAGTCCGGGCAACGTTCTTGTCCCTCTACCCCTTGCAGAAGACCGCTTACCGCCGTGCTAACGGGGGGTCCAGCGCGCCCGCCTTGCATGAAGACGTAGAGCCCAAGTTCCTGCCCAAGGCGAAGTCAGCGGTTCCCAAGCCGGAAGTTTTCAAACACGAGCCGCGGTTGATTGTGCGCAACACCTTTCTGGACATCGAAGAGGATGATGAGGAGGATCCAGGGCGGAATGTGAATTCTTTGATACGTTTGATGTCTTTTCCCCGAGTTTCCTCAGTTTGTTGCAGCATGTCTGTCTCAGGCTCAAAGGCTCAAAACGCAATCCGGGGTAGGAAGTGTTGTGAAGTTTGTGGCACAAAGTCAGACAAGGAGATGGCCAAGGCTTCCCGAAAGGCACGACGCTCCAAAACCACTGCGGTAGTACCGGTATTGCTCGCGGCATGAGCTGGGCGGGCGCAGGCAGCAGGACAGAAGGAAAGCCGATGCGCCACACAAATTTGGTGAGCAGTGCAACCTCGCCTTCGCCTTGCGGATCTACAGTTTCGAATTCCTAAGTCAGCATGCAACTGTGCAGCATTTGCATGCAAGACTTGATCACTCCTTGCACCCCAAGGCTTTTGTACAGTTGCCAGGGCAGTGCGTCATAAGAGACAGCCCTGCGCCTCTTGTGTGAGTGACTGGTCCCATGCTAAGCTGCAGGGCTCATGGCATACCCTGGTGCTTGCGCGGCGTGACCTGTAAAGATGAACTTTTAATGACATTTAAAATGTAAAGATCCGGGCAAGATTTGTGCAGACCTGCGGAGTGAGCAACAGCCTCACGGTGTTTCCTCAGGGGTTACTTGCCTGGCAGTTTGTTCCAAAAGGGTTTAGCTCCAAGCCTTGCGCACTCACCATTGCAAGGCTTCAAGGTGGCCAGCGGGCCTGGCTTGGCAAGCGCCGATTTTCAGAATCTGTTTGTCGGGCAAGTGCCCACGGGCTTGTTGATGTTGCATGGAAGGGCTTAGGTCAAACGGCTCCTGATGAGAGTATGCCACGGATTTTGCGAGGAAGGCAGTGGCTAAGCTGCCTGGTTACTGGAGTTTTGTTTTTTGTGATTGGGGGTTGGGATGGTTGGGGCCGCTTCAACATTCATCGACCTGCATGGTCAGTTTGTACGTAGCCTGGGTTTTCGCACGGGCAGCGTCATTGTGAAATGG